TTACTGCTAGGTAACAGGGGCATTCAGGGTGAAAGAAACTTTGCCCATTTGTTTCTGCCTCGTGCGGGAATCGAACCCGCGCCAAAGAATTACGAGTCCTGCGTGCTATCCACCAGGCTACGAGGCACCCCTTAAGTCATAAGGATTACAACATTCGGCCAAATGACAAAATATCGCTTTTCCATTTCTAGGCGCCGATACTGTCAGCGACAAACGCAGTCAGAGCCCATGTGTGTGTTTAATTTCTTTTAGACAAAGTACTTGTGAAAGAGGATTCTGATTAACGAATTAACAACTGATTGCATAACTGATTTCGACCGAAAAAAAATTAGAATATACAAATAATTTGGTTGCCAACTTTCTTTTTGGGGGGAGGGCCAAACGATATATGAGTTTCAGTCCTATATGTGCTGTCTTGTGCGAGAGCGGGTTGGAGTTTCGTAGCAGAATGAAGTGTTTGAAGTCCATGAACTGTATAAATATATAATTCAACAACACTCCAATATTTTCTAGATCCACTCTGCCTGAAAATATAATTATTAAAACCATACATAATAATACTACGATTATTGTAATACGAAAAATATGAAGCGAAAAGTTATATATCTTTGGAAGGAATTGTCTTAAGAATGCAGTAACTATCGCCTTCAGCACTCTCTTGGTATAACTTAGTATGGAAGGCTGTTTGGTATATTTATTCAGACAAAATACGAGGAGTAAATTTATAGAAAGACAAATTTAATAAGAAAAGCTTGCAGAGTTGCCCAAGCCGACGCTACCTGCAGTGCGCATTTCCGTGTTAAATCCTTTTAGAGTTATGGTACATTATATTATCAGTATGGACTATACGTGAAGAAAAATTAGCAATTTCAGTGTTACCCAGCAAAATTTTAGGAGAATAAGTGAAGGAGAATTGCTAGAAATGAATGATTTCAATCAATTTTAACGAAGTTCACCTTTCAGATATATCGACAGTAGAGTTTGCGATATCCCAAATCCTTTTATACCGCACTGAATGTAATATTTCACTACTGGACTGGACCCATGAAACAGTTCAATTTATATTTCTGTTTCTCGTATAAATATATTTTGAACTGTAAAATATTTAGAAGCGCTCCATTGTCCTTATCGGACATGTTTAGACTATTACACGAATGGTCAGGGGCAGTCTGTCATCCGGTTACATTAATATATTTAAATATTATTGCTTGTAAAAATGAATTATTTGGTGAGCTAAATTTGATCCTAAAGTTTCGCTTCTAAGAACTTATTTTATCTTTCTAAAACATCAACATGTGCATAAAATATCAAATTATTAAATGTTAATTTATTACACTGTACGTTAAGTGGAATATACTTACAAATTCTTTATCATTAACATTTAAATCCATAGCAGGAAGGCACCTCTAGCTCCTACTGCTGTTGCCAGATTTACACAAACGGTCAATGCGAATAAATTATTCATTATACCTAACCGTTTACATTATTGAGTGAGAGTACATCATCTACAACCTAAATGAATATCACTAACATAAAAAACTTGTTTATAATACTGGAGGGTTAACTGAAACTTAAGTTTTTAAATCTGCTCCTTTAAATTCAGCTGGAGACGTGGCAAGGCAGCACTACCAGCTGGTATCTTTTTTTTTTTTTTATCTTTATTTAAAAAAATACAATATAAGTTACATATACATAAGTTACAAGGCAATTATACATTACAATTCTTAGTGAACAAGTGTTTCAGTAGTACAGAACAAGATTTTTTAGAAAACCCCTATAAACGAGTTACAAAAATTGAAGAATAAACTTACATTAAAATACAGGGGAAAATATTACATTTATATATATTTTATATAAGCCTCAGTAAACCAATTTTCTATATCATCACAGAGCATGAGCCTTAAACCCCAAATGTTATACCTGATCCTGCCTCGCAAGAACTTCATAGAACACTGTGTCATTGTTATATATAAATTTAACAGAGGTAAAACCTCTCACACATAGTTAATTATTGTGTGACTCTTAAATTACGGTAATGTTATTTGCATACTGCTAACCCAACTCCAAAAGCCTTTGGAACTTATATTCCAATTAAGAAATTACCAGCTAGAGATTACATTTAAATCTCTATGTTCATTTTACCCTAACATAATTGACATAGGCTTACAATATTATTTGCATATGTTAATAGCATTGAATTACTGACGTGTAGCATGCAAATTAGCATGAATGAGAATTAAACTAAAAACGTTCACTTTACTCATGCAAATTCAGCAAGATTAAAAGCCTGCTCTTATATAAATAGGATAAAAAGGCTTTTGTTCCTATTAAATTTGTTAATAGGATTAAAAGTCTATTTGCTTACGCTTACTGCTACACAGTTACTCTTGCATTTATATATCTGATGTAATTATTCACTTCTTGTCCAATATGAACATTCACGTATGTAAATGAGACTAGGCTCTTTACACCATGAACAATAAGTTCATAACATAGTCTTATGAAGTCAAATGGTGAGAAACTTTTCCAGATAGAATGAGAGACTTTTTTGTTTGAATAAGAAAATGGTGTTACATTTAACATGATAAACCTTGCTACAAATATAGTGATTCTTTTTTCCGGCTATTATGATACTTTTTTCAGATTTTGGTGATTCTTTGTATGGCTTTGTTGATGCTTTATATGGATAAGGTGATCTATTTGACTAATATGGTGACGTTTTTACGGCTGTCTTGATTCCTTTTATGGATAAGGAAATTCTTTCATACAGATATGGTAATTCAATTTTTTTTGCGAATTTAGTGACACTTCTAACAAACCTTAATATTCATCTTTCGTGTTCCCATAAATAACAAAATACAAGACAATAGATGTGAATGGCTTCAAAGAGGATAATAATTCATAGAGAAGCGAAATAAGAGAGTGTAAAATGACGAATGGGCTCTCACTTGTTGTTGGGGTTGGGGGGGGGGGACAGGAGTTGGGGGGATTGGGGGTTAGGGGGGTGGGGGATGGTGATGCAAATTAGGCTATTTCAAAACCAGCCCACTATTTATCCCGTCAATCACCCGTTACACAGGGCTCAATTTGCGCGTGAATTTTCATTATTTTAAAATAAGCGCTGGTTCGCATGTAAATTGGCAGTTGAGGTGCTGGTAGCGTGGTGATGTGTGTCACCCGGGCGACGCTCCACTTCCTCACTCTCTCATTTCTCTTTCAACTTTTGTATTAATGTGCTCTCTGATTTCCGTTATCCCCTCGGATTTTTTGTTAGACTTATAATTCTTAAATTTAACTCATCTCTCTCTCTCTATATATATATATATATATATATATATATATATATATATATATATATATATATATATATATATATATATATATATAATCTGAGATTTGTTGCTGTACATCTGCTTATGTAAAGCCTTACTTTGGAAACTGATGCATTTATTGAATGTATAATTATTATATACATTATATATAAACTTGATTTAATCTTAAGGTATAATGATATTAAGTACTGGATGAAACTGGGTCCATCTGTGTGCCATGGCCTTCATATGGTAATGAATAACTACTGATGGAATGATTTTTTTAAGGATGGCACACCTTGCGTAAGGCTCTTGTTGTTGGTTGAGCGCCTTGTGTTGTGGTGACCAGCTGGGGAACCTTGAACATATTGTGCCCTGATACATAACAATAGAGTCCAACAACATCTCTCTGGTGCTGAAGGGGTTTGTATAGTGATCAGTCCAACTAGGACAGGTCAAGCCTAGCGATGAATCGTCTTATATATATATGTCGTCTCTTCCTTTTCACGGAAGCTGAGATAGCATGGAGTAGAGACATCCGAGAGAGAGAGAGAAAAGTGAATATATATATATATAAGAAGAGAAAAAATCTTGTTTCAGTTATAGTTTTCTGCCACTACTCTCTCTCTCTTTTATTTTGTTTTTGTCGTTCACATCCTCCCTCTTGCTATATATCACCCTGTGCTTCACACATTTTTCCCCACCTCAGCCATCTCTCTATTATTTTTTTATTTCTGTGCCTTCCCCCATTTCGTTCTTGCATTTTTTGCCCTCTCCATGCGCTCGCTGAACTCTTAAAGTTTCTTTTAGGCTATGGAGACCTGTTATTTTTTTTTCAATTCTCTGTGTGTTTTATCTTTTAGTTAGTCAATCCCTCACGATAAGGTCTCCTTTTTAATCCTGCTCCATCAACCCCCATGTTTAACCAACCATGATAAAGTAAATCTCCATCAATTCCTCCCCACGATTGACTTTCCATGGTAGAGTCCCACTCAATCAATCCCCCCATGATGAACCCACTATGGTAGTCCCCTCACCCATGATGAACCCACAAAGGTAGTCCCCCTCCCATGATGAACCCACTATGGTAGTCCCCCCTCCCATGATGAACCCACTATGGTAGTCCCCCCTCCCATGATGAACCCACTATGGTAGTCCCCACCTCCCATGATGAACCCACTATGGTAGTCCCCCTCCCATGATGAACCCACTATGGTAGTTCCCCCTCCCATGATGAACCCACTATGGTAGTCCCCCTCCCATGATGAACCCACTATGGTAGTCCCCACTCCCATGATGAACCCACTATGGTAGTCCCCCCTCCCATGATGAACCCACTATGGTAGTTCCCCCTCCCATGATGAACCCACTATGGTAGTCCCCCTCCCATGATGAACCCACAATGGTAGTCCCCCCTCCCATGATGAACCCACTATGGTAGTCCCCCCTTCCATGATGAACCCACTATGGTAGTCCCCCTCCCATGATGAACCCACTATGGTAGTCCCCCCTCCCATGATGAACCCACTATGGTAGTTCCCCCTCCCATGATGAACCCACTATGGTAGTCCCCCTCCCATGATGAACCCACTATGGTAGTCCCCTCCAGTAAGCAGTCCCAGTAAGCTGGCTTCCCGGGAGTAAGCTGGCTTCCCGGGAGTAAGCTGGCTTCCTGGGAGTAAGCTGGCTTCATGGAGTAAGCTGACTTCCCGGGAGTAAGCTGGCTTCCTGGGAGTAAGCTGGCTTCCTGGGAGTACGCTGGCTTCCTGGAGTAAGCTGGCTTCCCGGGAGTAAGCTGGCTTGCTGGGAGTAAGCTGGCTTGCTGGGAGTAAGCTGGCTTGCTGGGAGTAAGCTGGCTTGCTGGGAGTAAGCTGGCTTCTCGGGAGTAAACTGCTTCCCGGGAGTAAGCTGGCTTCCCGGGAGTAAGCTGGCTTCCCGGGAGTAAGCTGGCTTCCCGGGAGTAAGATGGCTTATTGGGAGTAAACTGGCTTCCTGGGAGTAAGCTGGCTTCCTGGGAGAAAGCTGGCTTCCTGGGAGTAAGCTGGCTTCCTGGGAGTAAGTTGGCTTCCCGGGAGTAAGTTGGCTTCCTGGGAGTAAGCTGGCTTCCCGGGAGTAAGCTGGCTTCCTGGCAGAAAGCTGGCTTCCTGGGAGTAAGCTGGCTTCCTGGGAGTAAGCTGGCTTCCCGGGAGTAAGCTGGCTTCCTGGGAGAAAGCTGGCTTCCTGGGAGTAAGCTGGCTTCCTGGGAGTAAGCTGGCTTCCCGGGAGTAAGCTGGCTTCCTGGGAGAAAGCTGGCTTCCTGGGAGTAAGCTGGCTTCCTGGGAGTAAGCTGGCTTCCTGGAAGAAAGCTGGCTTCCCGGGAGTAAGCTGGCTTCCCGGGAGTAAGCTGGCTTCCCGGGAGTAAGCTGGCTTCCTGGGAGAAAGCTGGCTTCCTGGGAGTAAGCTGGCTTCCTGGGAGTAAGCTGGCTTCCTGGGAGTAAGCTGGCTTCCTGGGAGTAAGCTGGCTTCCTGGGAGTAAGCTGGCTTCCTGGGAGTAAGCTGGCTTCCTGGGAGTAAGCTGGCTTCCTGGGAGTAAGCTGGCTTCCCGGGAGTAAGCTGGCTTCCCGGGAGTAAGCTGGCTTCCTGGGAGTAAGCTGGCTTCCTGGGAGTAAGCTGGCTTCCTGGGAGTAAGCTGGCTTCCTGGGAGTAAGCTGGCTTCCTGGGAGTAAGCTGGCTTCCTGGGGGTAAGCTGGCTTCCCGGAAGTAAGCTGGCTTCCCGGGAGTAAGCTGGCTTCCTGGGAGTAAGCTGGCTTCCTGGGAGTAAGCTGGCTTCCTGGGAGTAAGCTGGCTTCCTGGGAGTAAGCTGGCTTCCCGGGAGTAAGCTGGCTTCCTGGGAGTAAGCTGGCTTCCTGGGAGTAAGCTGGCTTCCCGGGAGTAAGCTGGCTTCCTGGGAGTAAGCTGGCTTCCCGAGAGTAAGCTGGCTTCCTGGGAGTAAGCTGGGAGTAAGCTGGCTTCCTGGGAGTAAGCTGGCTTCCTGGGAGTAAGCTGGCTTCCCGGGAGTAAGCTGGCTTCCTGGGAGTAAGCTGGCTTCCTGGGAGTAAGCTGGCTTCCTGGGAGTAAGCTGGCTTCCTGGGAGTAAGCTGGCTTCCTGGGAGTAAGCTGGCTTCCGGGAGTAAGCTGGCTTCCTGGGAGTAAGCTGGCTTCCTGGCTTCCTGGGAGTAAGCTGGCTTCCTGGGAGTAAGGCTTCCTGGGAGTAAGCTGGCTTCCTGGGAGTAAGCTGGCTTCCTGGGAGTAAGCTGGCTTCCCGGGAGTAAGCTGGCTTCCTGGGAGTAAGCTGGGAGTAAGCTTCCTGGGAGTAAGCTGGCTTCCTGGGAGTAAGCTGGCTTCCTGGGAAGCTGGCTTCCTGGGAGTAAGCTGGGAGTAAGCTGGCTTCCTGGGAGTAAGCTGGCTTCCTGGGAGTAAGCTGGCTTTCTGACAGATGGCAACATTCAATAAATTTTGAACACTTTTTGAAAAATTCATTTCACTGAAGCAACAACAACGGATATTTTTACACGTATTCATGTATACTGCCTTGGGTTCATGTATACTGCTCTGGGTTCATGTATACTGCTCTGGGTTCATGTATACTACTCTGGGTTCATGTATACTGCTCTGGGTTCTGTATACTGGGTTCATGTATACTGCTCTGGGTTCATGTATACTGCTCTGGGTTCATGTATACTGCTCTGGGTTCATGTATACTGCTCTGGGTTCATGTATACTGCTCTGGGTTCATGTATACTGCTCTGGGTTCATGTATACTGCTCTGGGTTCATGTATACTGCTCTGGGTCCATGTATACTGCTCTGGATTCATGTATACTGCTCTGGGTTTATGTATACTGCTCTGGGTTCATGTATACTGCTCTGGGTTCATATTAGACTATATATACATTTTCAAATGTATATATATAACAAAGCCCAATATTCTCTAGAGACTATTCACTGGTCGATTAAGGTTAAGAGGCGGAAGCCGAGTGTCGTAGTTCATCCCCAGCAAGTGCAACTGGGCGTGAGTACTACTAGGTTAATACACACACTCACACATACTTAATGAAACAGACAGAGAGAAAGATCTAGGAGTTGATATCACACCAAACCGGTCTCCTGAAGCCCACATAAAAAGAATAACGTCTGCGACATATGCGAGGCTGGCTAACATCAGAACAGCGTTCAGGAACCTGTGTAAGGAATCATTCAGAATCTTGTATACCACATATGTCAGACCAATCCTGGAGTATGCGGCCCCAGCATGGAGCCCGTACCTTGTCAAGCACCAGACGAAGCTGGAAAAAGTTAAAAGATATGCCTCTAGGCTAGTCCCAGAACTAAGAGGCATGAGTTACGAGAAAAGGCTGCGGGAAATACACCTTACGACACTGGAAGACAGAAAAGTAAGGGGAGACATGATCACAACCTACAAAATCCTCAGGGGAATCGACCGGGTAGACAAGGATAAACTATTCAACACTGGTGGTACGCGAACAAGTGAACACAGGTGGAAACTGAGTACCCACATGAGCCACAGGGACGTTAGAAAGAACTTTTTCAGTGTCAGAGTAGTTAATGGATGGAATGCATTAGGCAGTGATGTGGTGGAGGCTGACTCCATACACAGTTTCAAATGTAGATATGACAGAGCCCAATAGGCTCAGGAATCTGTACACCGGTTGATTGACAGTTGAGAGGCGGGATCAAAGAGCCAGAGCTCAACCCCCGCAAACACAACTAGGTGAATATATACACATTATAAAAGAGGTAATTTTTTTATCTTTATTTAATAAAATAGAATATAAATCATATATATATATATATATATATATATATATATATATATATATATATATATATATATATATATATATATATATATATTTAGTATATTTTGGTAGCAGTCTTTCCTGTAGAC